GAATTAAAACTGCAGTGTCCAGGAAGGCAGATTAAGACTCAATGCTGTAATTGTAGCCAAAGGGGGATTTATGAATGACTGACTTTTCAGCCAATTATGCACAAAGAGTTTTCTAATTGTTCGACTGATGATAAATGCTCAATTATTGAATTAATCCACATTGTAATCAGGCGTGGCTGTAAAGGACAATGAACAGATACTATGACCAGCACATAGACACTCCTTTGATAAGTGACTGTAGAAGGCCACCTTAATATGCAGCTTTATTCAAAGGACATGAATTCCTGGGTGGCAAGATGGACTGGTGGCATTTTGGAAGCTGCCAATTCAGTTAAGGGCGTACCCAGGCACTTTAATTACCACAACTCCACCAGCTGTTGCCCAAGAAACGGTTTCAGACAGCATGATTCAACAGCAAATCTGCCCCATGATGCTCTGTATGGATGAGATCCTATACACCACAGCATCTACACCAGAATTGGCTATATCCCAGCTGCAAACTGCTTTTAATATTATCCAGTCAAATTTCTTTGACCTAAAACTTGTTTTAAATTCAAGCAAAACCAAATTCACGTTGTTCTCAAATTCCAAGTCAAAACCACAGAACCTGCCTTCAATCACCTCTTCTCAGGGTGCACAGATTGAAATAGTGTCTCAGTATAAATACCTTGGAATTTGAATCGATGACTGTTTCTCCTTCACACCTCACATCCAGCAGATGGCAAAGAGACTAAAACTGAAACTGGGTTTTTACTTTAGAATCAAGTCTTGCCTGTCCTTTGAGGCCAGAAAGAGATTTGTTGCCGCCACTTTTATGTTGGATTATGGAGACACGGTATATATGAATGCTTCCGTTCAAAGCCTGAGTGTTTCAGGTTCAGTGTATCACGGCGCTTTAAGGTTTATCACCAATTTTCAGTATTTTACACATCATTGTTTATTGTACTCTCGTGTTGGATGGTCAGATTTGACCACACGAAGGAAAAAACACTGGCATATTTTAATTTATAAATGTACTTTAGGCCTGCTTCCTCGTTATTTGCAAGTTTTTATTTCTACAAAAGCTCCCAGTGGTTACAGTCTGCGGTCCCAGGATCTGTTGCTACTGTCTGTTCCGAAGGCTAGAACTGAACGGGGACAGAAAGCTTTTAAATTCACTGCAAAAAGACCTGAAACTTCAAGAGCTGGTCTCTTTAAATACTTTTAAAGCAGGGGTGTCCAATCCTGGTCCTCGAGGGCCACAGTCCTGCATGTTTTTCCCTCTTCCAACACACCTGATTTAAATGATCAGGATGGTTATCAGGCTTCTGCAGAGCTTGATGATGAGCTGATCATTTGAATCAGGTGTGTTGGAAGAGGGACACATCTAAAACATGTAGGATTGTGGCCCTCCAGGACCAGGATTGCCCACCCCTGTTTTAAAGTGTTCCTAAATGACTTGGAGGCAGAAACATCAGTCTGTAGATGTTTCGACAGATGATTATTTTGCTAGTTATGTTTCTGATCTCTACTAATATGTTGATTTCTTATCTTCAATATGTAATCGCCATGTATTATGAGTATGATGTCTGTGTGGATGCTGTTGTGACCTTGTCTGTCTGTCAGTTGTGCTGCTGCCTGTCTTGGCCAGGACACTCTTGAAAAAGAGATTTTTAACCTCAGTGAGCCTTTTCCTGGTTAAATAAAAAAAAAATATCCACCAACTTCAAGTCCTTCAGGAAGAAAAAAGGGAAAACGTTCCACAATCCAGCATCAACGACCTCATAAACTCTGCGTCATAGATGTGTGACGCTGCACAATGCAACACACAGACCTGTGATTTCTGGTCTGTGACCCCACTTTTAATCTCCCCTTTATCACTTCCACAACTGTGCAAACTTGGTTGCTTCATGATGTCCATTCTGGTGTAGAGATGCCGTGTGGTAGAACAACAAATACTGATTCCCCTTTGATAAGAACTGAATACGATGTTACATGCTATGTTTACACTTTTGTTCAGTAGACTGTTGATTAATTTGATAATCTTTAAAGCCTTTGTCTTTTCACAGTTTTTGACAGAACTCAGTTTAAATCCCTGTTTTCTGTGTTTGTTTTTTGCTCTTAGCACCGAAGTGGGTAATGAGGTAATAGACTGTTAAAAATGTCACGTGAAAATAAAGTTTTTTGTCTTGTTAACATTGTTCACAAGCTGGTTTTTACAAATAAACAATCCGTGTTATAAACTGAGCATCAGCACCTGGGATCTGCAGTGTATCAATGACCGTCTACAAAAACAAAGATTCAGATTTCAGGAAATTCAAACCTAAAAACCTTGAGGAACCAATTCTTTTAACTTGCAGGGTGAGGCTTTCTGTAACATTATTCTTTTTCAGAGTCAGCCAGTTGGAAGATATATTACAGAAATTATCCAGTATTACAACTTGGAGAGAGAAGCAGACACTTCGTAGTTCTGCTCATTGTAAAGAAGCGTGGACAGACTCACAAAGATGTTGTTTTGATGCACAAAGATAAGTGTTTTTTGGTTACTCGATAACCATAAAGGGACTTGATGCTCTGAATAATAAATAGAACTTAAAGTCACTGCAGAGCTAAAGAGATTAAACAAGTATCCAGGAAGAGAACCATTAAGATAATTTCTGTAATGTAATAGCTCAAAGTATGCTCACCCTTAGGGCTTCAAACTGATCGACATGACTTACAAACTCAACTTTCTTGAGATCAGGTGACACAAACTTAAGCAGTGATAATCTTATTCTCGTACAGTGCAGGACAGAATTGCTGTCTGCATCCGCTGTGTACAGTATTCATTAAATACAAGGACAAAAATGAAACACAATATTGGCAAAAGGTGTAGAAACAGTATTGTATTTTAGCCATAAATTTCCAGATATTTACACAACATTTCACATGAATATATATATAGACAGTGCATACATCAAGAAAAATCTCTGGAGGTCTGAGAACACACAGCATTAACGGAACCCGCTCGTTAATTGGCCCAAATGGATAAAATAAGAGCAAAATCTGTCGTGTAAAAAAATGATGTTTCTATAAAAGCTGATTGTAATGAATGCTTGTTGACTTAATTATTGCCTGATTATTATAAAAAGGAAAATGGGAAGAGCTTTATTGTCTGGCAGAAGTTGTACAGAGAGACAGCTGATTACTTGCTTGATGATCGTTGTATTATTTGGAGGGGGGTCAACATTTCATGAACATATTTACAATTTTCCAATATGTGGATCCATGTATCCCCAGTGACGGTGCGGCTGAAGCTATAAATAAGTTGTCGATGGCAGCAGGCAGGCGGCAGCAAACATCAAGCCAAGGAGGAAGCTTCCTGGCACCAGCGGCAGACCTGCACTTCCTGGAGGCATCAGAGCAGAGAGGTGTGTGAGAGACTGATGGTCTATTGAGATACGACTCTGTGAGTGTACGCGATTATTGTGCTCTGCGAAAGTCTGCTTAAAGGTGATGTGCATGTACACCCCTGTTGAAGCTGTTTAATTTATTAAAAATGCTGCTCTGAGGTGCTCTTAGGAGGTTTAAAAAAAAAAATCTGCTCAGAAGTAATAAAATACATTGCCATAGATTGGTGCAATTTTTACTTCATTGGTGGTTGACGTCTGTGCTCTCCAGGCTTTATACGCCTTATGTTATCGTGTTGCTGGTGATTTAAATGACAGTTTATATGAGATAGCATTTAATATTTTCTATATTTCAACTCTGACATGTGTTTATTGTAATTTTACAAGTGCTAAACTACATAGTCCAGGGTTCATTACCTGCTATGGGGCTGCTTTTCATAAAAATCTAAATTGAAATGTATGTAAAGGATGTCTTAATGTTGTTCTCCCTGAAATGCATTAACAATGTAACAATCCCATTAATAATTTAAAATCCCGTTAAAGCCATGGTTGCAGTATGGAGGACACTTACTTGTGCATGAGTCAGACTCTCTGAAGGGTCCCATCAGCTCGCTGGATTGGACAGAATTCAACAGGTCCGTGCTGACGTTTCCTACGAGACACAAAGTGCCAAAAGTTTAAGACAGTACAAGCTGCAGTAGGGGATTTTTTCTACCTGATAGTTGCTGGAGCAAGATCAACTGCTGTTATTCACTTGTTTTTCCATCATTATGTCAGAAGTCGTGTCAATTATTTGATGAATTCTGGACAATTTTGCAGAATTTTGGTTTCAATTTAGCGATGAATGAAAACCAAAACAAGTGTCATCTGTTTTATTACAGGTGAATTTGCACACATTTTCAGACTCACGCTGTCTGCAAATGATTGTATACATCTTTCAGCTGTACTTAAAAAAATAATCACAGCGAAAAGGGCTTTCTAGGGAATCACTGCAGCAGTGAACTCTTCACCTTGTGGGAGGCTTCTGGGGGCATAAATGGCCGTCCTGTGCTATAGTGTGTGAAACTTTTCTACAGATACTCCCCTGTTTCCCTCTGGGACAGAGGAAGGGACAGAAAATGAGACGCACAGACACTCAGCTCCAGCGTCAGGTTACTGGGCAATTTTTCAGGTTTTCTAAAGATTTTCAATGCCCGTAATTGTTCATTGTACTGATGCCCTGACGCGCTGCTTGCCCAGGTAGATCCTAGGAGCAGCTGAAGGGTTTGCAGACTTCCGTGATGCAACACAGTGTGATTGATTCAGATTATATCACACATGAATTTATTTAAATACTGGTGAATATAGAACCTACTAGTCTAGACCATGACGCTCACATAATCCTGTGTGTTGCCTTTTTTTGTCTGCTATATCTGCTTTAATGCTGTGTCTTTTATTTTTTATTTTGTTTTTGTTTTATTACCACAACTTCTGAAACAGAAACTCCTATGAAAAGGTTAGTAAAGCTTTGGTGAGATGAGTCAGTACGTGGTTCAACAAAGTAAATGCAGCTGTTATGAACTCAGTTATGGCCGGAGTGTGGGAGACCAAACCTCTGTTGAACAGTGCATCATGACCATAATGACACTACACCTTGACAACATCTGTGCTGAGAATTTTAACCACGAGCTGTGTATGCCATTTATATCTTGTTTTGATCAGACGGTGCAGTTTGATATGTTACCTCAGTAGAGCAGAGAAAGTGGAAGTGCATGAGGTGCTTGCTCACTGCCTCATATCATTTTCTCATATTTCTTTTGTTTGTGGTTCTTATGTCATGCAAACACAATGCTGTGTTGATAGTGGAGCTGCTTCTTCTTCTCTTTTTTAAAAAAAAATTTGCTTTACCTGATACCATGAAGCTGACTTGCTGGCAGTTTACTTCATCTACAGGCATGGGAGAACCAGACAAGATGGTGATTCTTGCCCTTCCCACCTGTAGCACTTCTGCAACCCTCCTGCGGAAATCAAACCTGGACATAAACACATTAAAACAGAGTTACTAGTCAGATCTGGAGATGCAATTTAATTAAATTTTTAAACTAATGCTCTCTGTGTGCGACTACAATTTTAATTACATCTCTTCATAATAACGGTTTGAATGACGCATTACTCGTGCAAGAGTCAGGATGTTTTATTGCAGAGGTTCTCAAACTGTTGGAGCCACGACCCCCAAGACAGCATGAGTCTGTGTTCGTGACCCCCCAGTTAGAATCATTAATACCTCATCAGTAATAACTCTGTTGTTCATCACTAATGCGTTAAAATTAGCGTGTTAATTCCACAGATTAATCTCTTTACATTAATTTTCTTTGAAAGAATGATTTGAATTTATTTTGAACAAATGAAAGGCTGCAGGTGGCTCAGTGGATAGCACCGTTAGCGCCTCACAGCTAGAAGGTCGCCGGTTGGCGTCCCGCTGAGGACACCCGGGATCTTCCTGCGTGGAGTCTCCATGTTCTCCCCGTGCAGCGTGGGTTCTCTCCGGGTTCTCCGGCTTCCTCCCACAGTCCAGAAACATGCTGAGGTTAATTGGTGATTGTAAATTGTCCGTAGGTGTGAATGTGAGTGTGCTTGGTTGTCTGTCTCTAAGTGTAGCCCTGTGATAGACTGGTTACCTGTCCAGGTGAACCTGCCTTCCCCCTGAGTCAGCTCGGATAGACTCCGCCCCCTAGTGAGGATTAAGGTGCAGAGATGATGGATGATGCGACCCCCTGAAATGATCTTGGGACCCCCGTGGGGGTCGCGACCCCCAGTTTGAGAACCACTGTTTTATTGCAGTAATAAAAAGCGTGCGTGCCATGAATTCCTGTTTCTCACCTTTACACAATGATCACCTTAAGTTTATATAAATAGTTTGCAAAATGATTTATGGATAATCAATAAATGACTTTTAACGCATAAGCTGGAAATCCAGTCACATAGAAAAGGGTATTTCATGTATTTCCAGCCAGGAGAAAAAAAAAATCCTCGTTAGTTTTGTTTTCATGAAGACAAACACAGACTCTCCCTTACTCCAGGCTACCAGCGACACAATGACATTGCATTCCATAGATGACACTAATAAAAACACTTTAAATATAGATACAAGTGCAGTCGGGGAGAGAGACTGAAAATAAGGGTACTTTCTGTTGGCAGAGCAGGAAGCAGACGTCCTTTTAAGTTGCAGTGCTGTCAATGTATTTTCCACTTGTGGTTACAGGTTGATCTTTTTCCTCAATGGTTTGGATATTTTGTAAAGAACTGGTTTAATGCGTGACAGCGCAGGCAAACATTTCCAGTCTAAAACTATGTAGGAGTGTCTTTTCTCTCCCTACGTCTTCTCCTGTACTGTTCATGCAGATGAAAACAGAAAATTAAAATAAAGACATTCGTTATGCAACAGACTTCTTGCAAGTTGGCCAGTGTTCAGGAGTCTGATTAAAACTTTTGGACTTGCTCATGAATTTCCTACACACCTGCCTCATGAAACAAATATGCAACGAGTTCCTTTTGACTTTTACACAACACCCACATCAAAACATTTCTGACTTATAAAGAGCCAAGCAGCTGAATTACTGGACTGTATTAGTTTTCCAGTTCCTGTTTTAATGTTGGTTCAAACGCCACTGGGTGCATTGCACATCACTGTCTTTATCATAGTTCACAATTAGGCTTTAAGACATGGATCTACGCTAAGATCATTTTAATGGCATTGATTGAGAAGTTCTCCAGGCTTAGTCAATGCCAGATTTGTGCTAAATTACATGCTTTAATTTGACTAACTCGAGCAATTTCAGGTGCCAACTCTGGCCTAAAGTTAGATGAAGTTGTGCCGACATTCAGCTGCAGCCAGTCTTATTCCACCAGTAACGTACATGATTACTGCACTTGTCTGCCAGCGACTTTTGACTTTTTTCACAGCAGGAAACACACAGGTGGAAATAATAACATTAGGGATGGCACTGTTCCCATCAAAGTTCCAGGAAACCACGACACCGTAGCGGCACCCACAACAGCAGGACCGTCCCCTGAGTGGAATGCAAGCATCACTGATACACCTGTGCATTTCCTACGAAGGAATGCCAAAACATCTGCCACGACTGAGAAATTCACATGATACTGTACACACAGGAAGAACATGTCTGTAGATTTTCTTCTAAAAAAAACCCCCTCTAGCAAACAATGGAAGTCTGTTGAGAGATTTATGACTAAACTCTGATGAAAGGGGAATTAATTAGGCAATATACTTTTTTATTACACTCACCGGCTGAAGTTGGTCACAGTGGGAAAGGTCTGCTGTGCCGATGGGGACACTGGGAGGATATCGGCACATGCGATGATGCTGTCTCCGTTCTTCAACACCAGAGATCTGTGGACCACTAAACACACAAACACAAAAAAATCTCAATTACACCTGTTGTGTTCACTTGACTACAATCAGCTAGTTTCTTTGGAGGTGTAAGTCCCAAACTCACACCGTTTTTATTTCTGACCACTGCATTTATTTTCCTTCATTTCACCTGTGTTGTCTCCATTGAGCTGGATGATGCTGTCGGTGTAGAGCTGCCTCTCAGTCAGACTGACATTGCCATGTCTTGTAGAAATCTCCCCCACCACACAGCTCAGCGGGGTTTGCATTGAACAGCTGGAGCTCTGAAGGAGGAAGAGAAAGACAGAAGTGCATTACACATTTACCACAGAAGCATAATTTTGGCAGAAAAAATGTGGCTGGTTGTTCGTGCTCTGACATTTAAGAATTGTGTTTCTATGATTGCAAAAAAAAAAAGAAAAGAAAAACACTTCCTCTTTCAAAACATTGTATTCTATGTTTTGCATGTCCATGATGAGGCAAAACTAAGCTCTGAATTAATGCATATGCAAGTATCTTTGTAACATTTTAGGGAATTACCTATTAACTAACTAACTAACTAACTTAACTGAGATTAAAAGCACGAAAACTGAGACGACTTAGGACGAAGTCTTGCTTTTCTATCATACATACACTATAGTGTATACACGTCATGATCATCCGTGATTATAAGATGAATAATCTAGTGTAACGAATATTGTTCTTATTGTCAGAGCACAGGATGATCCTCTTTATATTCTATCATTGTTCTACACAGCATATATTTCTAAAAATATATCTGTATAGGTCATCTATTCAGCATATGTTGGGAAAATGTAATTTAATCCGTCAATTCAATCCATTTTCTATAGCCGCTTGATCCTAGATAGCGTAACAGTGGGCCTGGACTTCATCTCATCTGACCGTTCCAGTTCGTTGAAGGTATTTTCACTTAATGTCAAGCACAAAACCCAGATGTTATCTTTGTATGAATGATGTTATGAGGGTTTTATCTCCTTAAACTTTGATTAAGATCACCGGAGCATACAGAAGCTACACATTAAAAAAAATAAATACAACACCAAAAAGCATAAGAACCACAAAAAAGACCAAGTATGCAAATTTAAAATTACACTTGAAGAGTTCATTTGCAAAAACAGATAACTCCATCTTCACAAACCTTCAAAAAACCCACTTTTCCTTCGTCTACCCGAGACAATATATCAAATCTACGTTATCTCTACTTTTGCCATGTCTTTCTGTTGAGTCAAATCCACTCAACTTCACTTTGATTGTTGTTATATCAAGCAAATAAAAAAAAGTTTGCTGAAAATTGACAAAAAATTGAGTTATTTGTTTTTGCAAATGAAGTCTTCACTTCTAGCACAGCAGCTTCAAACATGTAGGCAGTCTCTGAAGACCAACAAAACATACGGCATCTGGAAAAATCTTGAATCTCTGCAAATATTTTTCATTTCAGAAGTTCAGTCGAATACAAGATCTCCTACATCATTCAGAATCCATTCTCAGTGCATGTGCAACTGCTAAATATGGACTGCCAGCTTGCCATCTATTGTGAGACAGTCAGGTCCGTTTGTTTTGAACTAGCACTTCATTCCTAATTTAAGACTTTCAAGTTGCTCGTCCTGAAAATCTGCGATCAGAACCGTCACCTGATGAGAGTTTCTCGTACTTTTTACTGAAAGTAACTAAAAACACTCTTATTGCCATATTTGGTGACCCCAGTTAGTGTGGTGTAGTTAACATTTTGGGAACCTTTGATAACTTCCTTAAATTCACCAAAGGTCTTACCGCCAGACTACATCTATTTTTTCATTCACTTTCATTCTTTTTCTCTGTTTCTCTTTTCTTTTGACATGGACGATTTCAACCAATAAGCACACAAAATGAAGACAAGATTATAGAAAAGACGACATCGATCTCACCATTGACGTCATGTTGAAGGGATTGAACGTGCTTCCCACACTGCTGCACTGGCCGTTTGCACCTGTACGATTGATTGCGATGAACAGGGAGGCCTCAGTTGCCTTCAGGCAGAAATAAAATGCAAATGTGAGCGTGAATTGTTCTTATGCATCTTCATGTGAATAATAATGAACAGAAACACAGAGAAATATGATGAGGAACACACACACCTTAACACCAAACACACATTTTAGACACCCGTTTATAAAAATCAGTATCTGGCCTCTTAAATCTGCTTGCAACCCTCACTGCAGGGAGTCAATCACACATATCATTAAAATCAAGAAAACAACAGTGCAAAGGAATTTTATTTTTAGAAATGTATGACAGGAAATTAGTGTATCACTGCATAAAAACCACAGCTACTATCAACCTGAATATCTATGTCTTGCAGCTGTTTCAAGATTACGGATGCAAAATGGATTGCAGAGGCTCAATCGCACACATTTTGCTTATAATCAAGAAAACAACAGCATCAGGAAAACTTTGTTACTAAAATAGGGCAGGAAGTTGTTTTATTGCTGCATGAAAAAAAAACCCAGTTACTATCACCTTGGATATCTATGTCTTGCAATTGTTTCAAGATTGCGGATGCAAAATGGATCCCACCTCTGATACGGTGTTTCTAAGTCAAACTTAATCTGACACGCTTTTATTTCCTGATCATTTTTCATGTGTAATCCGCCCAGCGATGCACACCCGACCGCAGAGGTGTCACATATCCTGTAACATTTTCTTGCCAGTTTTTTTCTGCAGAGGCTTTAAGGTTTTAAGACTTACGTGGAAATGCGTTTAGTTTTGTAGTTGCTGAACGGTGATATCTGATTTTTTGTTATAATGTCTAACATAAATGGTTTGACACATTTCACACACACACATGTGTACAGTGCATAGAGCCTCACTTACATTGATTCTTGCAGATGACTGAAGGTTCACCTCCAGCGTAGTATCACCGCCGCTTCCATCCAGAAACGTCTGTTGGTACTGAGGGTGAGAAAAATCAAAGAGTCCATCATTAGCAGACAATTAAAAAGACTGAACTTGATGTGTAGTGTGCTAGTTTAACCAGAAGCAGTGCAGATTTGTAGGTATTGCACACTGATTGGCATTCTTACACTTGCTTTGTGACTCTCTTAATTAGCCTGAGCAGAACTCGTAGATACTATTGACTGATTGCGTTTCCTCACTAACATCGTCCTCTTTGCAATATAGGCTTCCCAGAGATATTACAAGCTCCTTTCCATAGATGCAGTGCAGCGCTCAGCATGGGGCCTCTGGAGGGCAGCTGACAGAGACAGCTGTTCCCTCGGTGAGCTTCCTGGTTCAGGGAGTCTGTATGTTCCTTCAGCCAGCAGATGGATGCTAAGCTAAGCTAATGATCCAGCCCCTTCTTCCCGTTGCTCCCTGTCGCAGGGCGTCACAGGCGTAATGAATTCACTGTCTGTCCAGAGCAGCAGAAATACTCTGTCATGTTTTTGTGGCAGCTTGGCTCCTAATAATCTGTCACGGGCTGGGTGAGTTTAACTTGAAAGGATTACACAGTCATCCATAGGACAAATTCTGACCTCTTTGGAGTGAGGAAATGCTCTCATTCCATCCCATCCATTTCTTTCTATGAAACAGACTTTTGCACTGTTTTAGTTTATCTATATAAAGAAGAAGCTAAGCATTGGATAGCTGAGTTAAGCTTCTCGAAGATAACTGCTGGTGTGTGCTACCAATAGATAAATACGATCTTTGGGATGTGGTTTATGGGAGGAGAGCAGCTGTTGTCTTTCTTTAAGGGGAACTCCACATGATTTTACACAATGAATTCTTAAAGGTCTCAGGAAGTACTCCTGCATATGTGAAGAAGGAAGTTGAAGAGAGACCTTTGGACTCCTGAGGGAGAAATTCCCTCAAGTGACACCACTTCAAGTGACATTAGATAGAAGTGAGCTCACCAGATCGCTACAGCACACTCCCCCATATCTGCTTGAGGCTTGACGCTCAGAGCCACATTAAACACAGCAAGCATTGCTTTTTATTATGCGTAAGACAATTTTACAGGACTACAATGAGCTGAGCTGCTCCTACTCTTGCTGCCAAAACAAAAACATATCATAAAAATGTGTCATTTTATTTTTTCACACTTTATCAGACACTTTTAAATTCTTGTATATTTGTTATAACTGAGATTTTGTGTACACTGTAATAAATTACTGTAATAAAATTCAGCCAAATTCAAACAGTTGTGTACTGTTTTTCCACAATACAGTTAAAATTGGATGCATTTTTTTGGATCCAAAAACAAGAAAAATCAACAACAGCAAGCGTGAAATGGACAAAAAGTTTCTGCATTACAGCTCAAGAAAGTCTGTCTCGACTGGCGATATGATTTAGGCAGAAAAGAGTAGACTATTTTTTTTATTAGGTTAAATAGTTTGAACTTGGTTTCTAAAATATTTTTCATCGACAACAAGTGACCACACATTGCTGCCTTTGAATAAATATTGCCGATCCATAATAATGTAACTTGTCTTATCCTTTATACGTCATTGTTTTAATTACAAATATTAAAGACATTTTGTTATTTATGGTGTATAGATGCAATTCACAGCAGTGTTATATGCTTTTTTTAAAACAAAATGTCATTATTTACAGGTAACTACAGTCACAGTTATTGCTGATCAAAGTGGCAACACAATGTAAAACAGTAAAGACATGAGTCACAGACTTTAATTCTTGTGGTTCTTACCAGTGTGACTGTCCCGTTCACTGTACCGTTGAAAACAGCCCTGGCCGTAATGAACTGTCCATCTGTATTTCTTTCAGCCGTTATGTTAGCACACCTCATTCTGCAGAGGAAAGGCACACAATGAAAAGAGTTGGGAATGACTCAAAAACACAATTAAGATGAGCAACACATACAAATCCTGCAGGTTTAACCCTGAGGATTCTGTCCATTATGGTATTTTGTTGAGTCATTCTATATGAGTGAGGAAGATTATCTATGCATTATAACACAACACAAAGATAAAATGGCTCAGTGACGTCCCACACAGGCTGCCAGAGTTTGTTTTGGTGCCTGAGGCCTGCTTATAGTGGTGAAGCTTAGATTTCTGCAGACATCAGTGACAATACAAACCTTTTTAGCTATTAGAGTTTTTAGCATTTTCTGTATGCGCCTTCTTAATCTCAAATAAAGTACATATCTGGTGATAAATACTTCCTCTTTATTTACAACAATTATCAAGAAGTGATGTTGTAAGAAAAATGTCAGTGGCTGCAGCAGAGTAGTTGCTATGCAAACCCTTTCTTTTTTAAAACAAAACAAAACAAAAAAAGAACCTGTGGTTGTTACCCTGCATGTCAAAATTTTACTTCCACCTTGTGTCATGTTTGTTTCTCTTTCTCTAAAAAGAACAAAAGCATTAATTCATACAGGTTCTCACCTTGATCCATTGGTGTAGTGAACCACTATTGATCTTCCCACGACGCTGTAGGGTCCAGTCATTGGCATGTTAGTGTCCATGTAGACAGCATCAAAGTCGTTTTGGCCAGTCAGCAGCCCAAACTTCCCACTAATGTCTCCAATCTCATATTGGTCTACAGTGCCATTTCCAGGTGGGGGGGAGTTTGATATGTTCCATCTCAGCGGGTTGTAGTGGCCCTGGATGTTTGCATTTGAGCAGGGCTCTACGGTGCCAGGTTTGAGGGGCAATATGTGGACATGGTAACCTCCAGCTAAGGAGCTCAGGTTCATCAAGGACACGTTTATGGTTGTGGGGCCTTGTGGGATGGACTGGGAGAACTGCACCTGGCCATCGGACATTTCAGGGCCGAGCCAGCTGCCTAATCTAGCTCTGGGGACTCGCACCATGGTGACATTGGCACAAGCAATCCTTGGCCCTCCTCTATCTGCCTGATGGATGACCACAGAACGGCCAATGATGCCTGACCCAGGCACCCAGGAAGTGACATCAGTGAAAAAGTATTTTGCTTCCACTCCTCCTATGTTGGTGCCAAGATCAATGGTTCTGTATTTGCTGGAGAAGTCTCCCACCTCACAGGATAAGGGAGCAGATGTGCCACAGTGGAGGGCGTAACTAATGTCTTCTGTGCTGATGTTAAAGGGGTTCCAGTGACCTCTTGTTGAGCTGCAGCGGTTTTCGTCATCATCTCTCTCGGAGCTAATGGGATCAGTGTGAACATGCCAGTTGTGGTTTCTGGTTGGTGTCATTGTGGGGTTTCCATAGGCGAGATCCAGAAAGATGGATACATCAGACAGAGGGTTGCTCACCAGCTGAGTGAACCAGATCACGCCAACCACAGGGCTCTGAAATACGGCTCTGCCTACTGCCACTTCACCAGGATAGCCGATGCTGGCGCAAACATACCTGGCACCATCTGTTAGGTGAATCACAACCGAGCGACCGACGATGCTGTTCCGTCCAAACAGAGGGAGATGGAAGTCTGTGAACTTCGCATCCACTGCATTTAGACCTGCTAGGGACATGTGCTTGGCACTGAGGTCCCCCACCTCATACATGTCATGTGTTGACCCAGGCCCGTTTGGATATGTTGGGGCACTAGTGTTGAGACCAAATGGATTCCAGTGCCCACCCACATTATCGTTTGAACATAGGCTTGATGAATTTGTTCCGAGTAAAGGGACAGGAAATTTGTGGACATGGTAGGGACCAACTCTGCTCCGTAGATTGGTCAGGTTCACTCTCAACTCTGTCACATCAAACGGGGAAGCCTGACGGAAGCTGAAGTATCCTCTGATCCCTTTCATATTCAAGACGGCGCTCACCTGTTTCTCTGCCACAGTGTAAATCTGAGCACACTGGTAACTTGACCCCACGCGGAGGAGAAGAAAGCTATTTGCGGCGTTGAGGCTGGTGAGGTCCAGACGTGATTTCTGAAATTGCAAAGGAGTGCCAACGTTTACGACTCCCAGACTGGTCAAAGCTGAAGTATCTAAGCTTCCGAGTAGCACGTCGCAGCTTGCAGCACTACTTGTAGATACACGGAGTGTGATGTTAGTTTGTGAGGCATTGACCTGACCGATTGTCATGAGGTCTGAAAGAAGTCTGGGGCTGCTGTTTCCTCTGTTTGAACGGATGTAAACGTTACCCGCGATGGACCCGGTGAACCTGGCCTGACGAGTCAAGAGCGTCTGACCTTGACTTACAACCGCGCATACTTTAGTGCCATTACACGTCTGCAAAGTCAGAGAGAAGTCATCCAAGTTACTTCTGTTTTCAAAGAGGCGCGACACATTAACGGAGGAGGATGAGACGGGGTTAGCTGTGAAGTTGAAAATGCTGGAGCCGATATTTGCTTCAGAACAGGGTTGGGCAAAGTGGCCGTACATGACAGGGAACTCGCTGAGGGAAAAGGTAACTGAAGCACAGGAACCGGCACCAGACACATTGACTGTGGCAACCTGGTTGTCTGAGTCAAACTGCACCTGCCCCATGACTCCACCCATGTTGAACGGTGCCAGAAACTGAACACAGGAGATGGAATCTGAAAAGGACAACAAGGAGGAGCCAATGATAGTGATCTGAGTTAGTGCACATGTCAGTTGATCTATCATCTGAACAGTCTTTTGAATTAAAAGGATTCTGCAGAAACTTAAGATGCCTTTTTGAATCTCCAGTTTCTTGTGTTTCTCAATCCTACCGCACTATCAGCACATACAGTTGAAACCAGAAGTTTACATACACTGTATAAAAAGACATAACCTTCTTTATTCCCTCCCTATCTGATATTAAATCAGACTAAACTTTTCCTGTTTTAGGTCAGTTAGGATTACCAAAATTATTTATTTGATAAATGCCAGAATAATGAGACAGGGAATTTTTAATATTTTTTTTTTACTTTCTTCAAAATCAAAAATTTACACACACTAAGACTGAGGTACACTTGTGCTGTCTAATCAGCATCTTGATATGCCACTCCTGTTAGGTAGATGGATTATCCCAGCAAAGGAGAAGGCTCTCCAACACAGATTTAGACACATTTGTGAGCAATATTTGAGAGAAATAGGCCGTTTGTGTACATAGAAAAAGTCTCAGATCTAAGAGTTCAGCTCATGAAAATTGGGAGCAAAAGCAAAATTGTTTCGATTTTTGTTCAGTGTAAGTTAAAGTTTGGACCACAACTGTTTTCTGAACTCCAGATTCTGCTTGTATGTACACATCTTAGAATAAAATTTAAAGAAAGCATGATAAACTTTGCTTCCCTTCCCCAGGAGTTAAATGTTTTCCCTTCTGGTGTCTCTCAAGGTCAAGCATCCGAAATAAGTAAAGAACATTTTTTAAGAGGCACTTGAACGTCCTGAAGCAGAACACAAACTTCTCTTCACTGTGAAAACAATCTGCATGCATCCACACAATCAGTTCCACACCCCTTTTTTTTGGCTGCATTACGTAAATATAACGCTTTATACTGTATCAGCATTTTATGGAAAGTGTTTGCTGCGTGATCTTAACTTCCATAGAATTATTAAGTGTTCCTGTTCACACACCACACAAAAAGCACAACATGTGGCTGTCTTTTTCAGTTCCTAATATTATTGTTGCATAATAACAAAAACCAATGAGATTACCGGTCCTTTTATCAATCGCTTTTTGTGATCTGCTTACTTTCATTTGTTGAGTTTTTTTTGCTGCTTTTCATTTGATCTTGCTGCAGTGTCTCGGTGCAGTGACTGTTTTATCCCCAGGATAAACTAAAATTTAATTTAAACTACTCTTAAGCATTGAAAGAAATTCAAATTATATACAGCATGTGCACACATTTGAGCCACAGAGGAAAAAATATCACAGCGCACAATGCACCATGTGCCAAAGTATACATATCTATCATTCATCACAGTAATACTGATATTGGTGTTTTCATTCATCAATTCTGACTCTCTTCTGTTAACTAATGAATACAAACTAACATTTAGGCGACTGCCAAACTTTCATTCATACAAATTTAAAAAGCAAAAGCAATCAGAGGAGAATCAATGGCTGCTGCTGAAGATTTGAAGTTTTTTAAAAGTTTTTTTTTTTTTTAAAGTAGCTTAAACACCAGAAACACTCACAGTTTAAGTGGTGTGACATCAAACAACTTATCAAGTTGAACATTCTTTCTAAAGCCCAAAAAGCACTGAAGCAGTGATTACAAATACCTTTTAAGAGTTTGAAAAAAACCCCAAAAACCCAGACTGAAGTAATACAACAAAGTACAAAAGCTGGTTCAAAAAAAATTTGAAGTCAAAAGTCACTGAAAAGGTCCAAAACTGGGCAGACTGAATGATTGAAATGGAATAATAATAATAATAATAATAATAAGCATTCATTTTTCAATTTCACGTATTTAACAATGCAACAATGTTTGCATGGTTGGATGCCACATTAATGGCAGCAAAGTAATTACAGACAATCATTTAATCAGCATGACAACAGAATGACTATTAAAAATGATGCCATAGACGCCCTTTAGTTTCTGTTCTTGTTAACATTTTATATATAGCAGCAAGTTTCATTTCTGTCTGTCTGTGTCTGTCCACCTGTATGGCAGTTGAAGTGAGACTTAATAGTGGAAATGCTGCTTTCACAATGTGACTACGACCTGTTGGCATTTCTCTTTGAACTCTAGTGATACGAAGACAGTGCATTAAGACATAATGTTTGTTATTTATAGTGAGACTATGTTACCTCACTCAGAGGCATCAATCCCATCGCTTTGGACCTGTAGTCCAAAGGTTGTAAAATGGATCAATCACTATGCTGGAGAGCAGAGCCTTGACTAGCACCACTGCAAAACAGCTGCTTGCTTTCACTGTATAAACTGTGATAAACTGGAGTAAACCTTAATCCTGGATCAAGGTCTTTTTTGTGAGCCAAATTTTTTGTGACAGAAAACGTAGTATTTCCCTAAATTTGAATTTGATCTGGTAAAATCTCTAATTGCTTGCACAAAATGGTAGGGAGATGGTAACTTGTATGTTACTTAATGCAGGACACCAATAATTGGCCAATTGAAATGCAGCATGCAGGATGTGGTGTGCCGCACATTAGGGAGCTTAGTCTCAAGTTTTGTAATTAAGTTTCATTAATAAAACTGAGCCGGTGCAAGTGAGGTGAGGTGCTGCACAACTCGTCTTGAAACCGGTTAAAAAATCAAAAGAATGATAGAGCTTTGAAACCGAACTCTGGCCTCGTGCCAATGAGTAACAAGACTGTGCTAATAAACTACTAAACGCAACCTTTAAAAAAGAGGTGAACTGTAGGAAGAAAACCTGCACATTTTCTATAAAACCCCTCGCATACACATGAGACAGCTCAATACATTAATTGCCCACAACGTGCATGCGGCTTCACTGCAAAAGTCAAAGACAGAAAAAAAAAAAAAAATACTCACCTAGCAAAAAAAGCAGCAGGGCAGCTGGTAGAAGGCACATGTTGGCAGATGTGTGCAAGACACACAGCAAACAGGAAAAGATATGTTTAGACTCTCACCGCAGTCACATAAACTCTGACTAAGGGTTGCAGGTAGGAACAAAAAACAGTCACAGCAGAAGAAGTTCAGTGACAGAAAAATGATGGAGCGACTGTCTGAGTGTGCCCTCTGAGAAGATGTCATGTGAGACTGGTTTTTTAAGTGTGCAGCCTCCCTTATGCTTCTGTTTTTTTTAGGCCTGGTCATGTCTCTGTCAGCCTGTGATTGGCCAACGGGGCGACAGTGGCTCACGTATGAAGGTTAGAGGGGGGAGGAAGAATATTTGGCAGCCTGCATGGGTGGAGGAAGCCTGTCCCTGCCGTGGCCAGGGAAAAAAAATATAGACAGAAGAAAGCACTTGTTGATTGTAGTGCACTCTGTTGGGCTCAGACAGCAATGTATTCATCTCCCAGTGATGTTTGTTGAATGAATATACGAATGAATCTTCCTCAGGTGGTTGAGCTGAAAGTGAATTCAGACAGTTTTATGTTTAGTAATATTAGATTACAAGTTGTGCAACACAGTATATTATAATAGACATATTTAAAATGACAAACTCGCTTCAGCAACTTTAGGAATATTTGCAAATATATTAGTGTATTTACACCGATTTTTAAGAAATGCTTCAACTTCAGCTTGAAGTAAAGAGGCAGACGTTTGACACACAGGTCAGAGAAACACAAAGATGACAGTGAATAGTAGAGATTTTTAGGCAAAACTCAATATAAAAAGTATGCAAACAAACTGCAGAAAATGAGCTTAACCTTTCGGTGGCGACATGAATAGGTTCTGAGAATCAACCTGGCAGAGAGACCTCGCAACTTCTTGTTTATTCTGCTCTTTGAAAAATAATCCTGTTCCTACAATCTACATTTTGATTCCCCCTTTATTTCTGCCTCTTCCTCTTTCTTGTCACAGACTATGCCTTAGCTGTCCTTGTGACAAAGTTGAGTCAAAAAAAGAAAAAAAAAAGGATGGCAGAAAATAGTAATTCGCTCTAAGAATAGCAGCCCGATGGTCCATCATTTTGTGGAAGGCCACGCAGCTATTTACACATATTGGAGGGCCTGTGAAGTGGCTCAGGCTCCTTCACTTGGCTTGTTTAGATCACTGATTGCGGCGGGAATCGTGATGTGACCGTCTCCCTGGCTCTGCACGGACACACATCTTTGCCGTTTGCACAGGCACACGAGCATACGCAGAAAATAGGCAGTGATGGGTGAACATGGGACCAAAAAAAGAGCAGAGGTATTACATTCATCAACAGCTTTCTTAATGAGGCGATCCCCTCCACGGCATTGCACAGGATGGACGAGAGCACGATTAGGCGTAGGAAGAGGCAGAATAGAGGAAAGACTTGACACCGATTGCTGGGTTTCTGTGACGTTTTGAAAGCATCAGCTGTAAGAGGACGGGGTTAACGTTCAGGCCACAATGAGCTCTGTCATTATGTGGAAAAGATGAGAAAGTTATAATCAAAGCATTCAGAAGCACAATTTTACAGCTTGGTTGTGGCAGTCATTTCGCACTGAAGACATTTGAGATTTTTTGTGGAGAATTCCAGTAACACACTGGAGGATGCTTGAGAAATAGAACTTTTTGCCGGTGGCATACGTTACCGCATGTGACCATTCATATCTGCAACCTGAAGGTCACACAAGGTGTTTTTTGTAAGCACAAGGAAACGTTATATTCTGCCAAGTATTCCAATGATGCCGGTGTTGTTACAGCCAACAAAGACAGTCAGGGTGTCATAGAATTAAGAAAAAACAACAACCACATCTTCAAATCATACTGAAAGTCCTATCAAACAATGGACTTTACTGTGGAATCTTGGAAGCATCAGCAGTGATGTCAAACACGTCAATCATGTCAAAGATTCCAACAGTAATTAAAAAAACTGACGTGGTTCTATGAATAATTTCTCTGAAACTCATCTAGCTGCTTGCAACATCTTGTCGGCTGCATTAGCTGATTCTCCCCTACTTCCTTTAAAGCTAAAGGCAGTCATTTGTCATTTCATCCCTACATCGTACGCCAAAGTTTGAACACTGACAGTTTCTATAAAAGAAAACCAGGTTGAGGAAGAGCTCACTGTGGTGCGTGAAAGACAAGACCAGAGGCGGAAGGAGGATTCGATCCCTTACGTGAGTTAAAATATGAAATGTAAAACCACTCCATTTAAGAGTGAAATTCATGCAACCACAATAAAACTACTAAGGTACCATCAGCAAACTGTACTTAAAATATCAAAGTAAAAAAATAAACTCTTGCTCTGCAGATTTGACCCTCATGACTGTTGATACTGTTTCATTTATATGTAGATAGCAACTTCCTTTTGTAGCTGATTGAACTGTAACTAGTGTGAAGGATCTTGAGGAGAAAATATCATCCTCCTAAACAAATCTGTAATCAGCTTCCAGTTATTTTTCATCTTTTCTTTTTAATTATGAAGTAACTCCTTCATGGAAATTACTGGTGATTTTTTACAAATGTCACAAAGGCCCCAACGAGATTTCGTAAGAAGTAACAGGCCACAAAGATTCATACCCACCAGTTTAATCTTCAGCAGTGTGTTCTTTTTTACGCGCTTATCACTTTTAATGTCGAAATCATAAGTAACGTCTAAAGACACACGAAAAGCAGAAGAGATGGAAAGTGGCACATAATGGAAACAGCTAAGGAGAAGCTTGCTTAAGAAGCTTGTGGACGGCTACCAAAAGCGCCTAGCTGAGGTGAAAGTGGCCAAAGCACGAGTGCTAGAATTGCTGTATGTATAATTTTGACCCAAAATGGAGGATTGTTTTCGTGTCATGTGTTTTCATAAATCCATCGTAGATCATTCAGGAGTCGTGGAAACTTAAGGCTACCATAACATACATGGTCTTCACAGGTGTATGTACACTTTTCTTAACGACTGTATCTGTTGAACAGGTGATGATCTTTTGCTGTGAATCTGATCGAGCCAAATCCTACACATGTGCTCTCAGACTTTAACACGCACTGTAAGCATTCATCCATCATGTCGTGTTTGCATCTTTCTCTGTCACAAGATCCAATCCACCACCTTCTACAATGAACTGATGTTATGTCATTTGCTGTTCGTGGTAAAGCACGTTTCCAAGAATCTTAGTTCAAGTTAATCAAGAGATATAGAAACTACAGGAACGCATCACTTCTGCCAAGGCTGTGTCAATCAGACATTAATGAAAGTTTTTTTTGGTCTAGCAGCTAGGTGCGGTAGGGTGTCTCCTAAAATAATACAAGTTTGTCAGAGCAACGACAGATGTTGGAGAGCCAGTTTTGTGGGTTGTTTTTTGTAAGCATATCTGGCAATTATCTTTTTTTTTTTTTTTTTTATTCCATCTGATGCAGGCAGCCACAACAAGTCAGCGACTCGCTGTATCATAACTGCCGCTAGATTGTGAGGAGTGATAGAAATGTATAGAATGTACAGAATGTATGTTCCTGTCTTCTTGCCCTTTTAGTAAGGAACATTGTTTTTGGATAAAGATCTGCAGTTTCAAACGGTTGAATTGGTTAATGTTTCTAACCCCTAAATCTGTAAACATGCTGCAGAACAGGTACCTGCAGATAGTGGCCTCGGTTGTTTCTGTTGATAATGATGTTTGTAATGATTGATTGTATGCAACCATAAAGGTCTCCTTTCCTGAACACTTAAAGCACCCTCCATAATTATTGGCACCCCTGGTTAAGATGTGTTCTTTAGCTTCTAGTAAATTCATTGTTTTTCTAAATACTACAGGACCACAATGAAAAAAAAGAGGAAAATTCAACCTTTAATTCAGGTGCATTTATTCAGTGTGAAAAAAAATCCCACATTAAAAAAATTATTCTTTTACATCAAATCACGTGTGCCATAATTATCAACACCCTTGATGTTAATACTTTTTACAGCCCCCTTTTGCCAACAATTCATTTGAGTTGAGTTGAAGGTTACATTTTTCTACCATTTTCAGTGTGAGAGTATGCTTCTGCAATAAAGACTGAAATTATTTTAAGGCTTTTAACAAATCTTAACCAGGGGTGCCAATAATTATGGAGGGCGCTGTATCTTTAACCTTAAATCAGAAACACAGCCTTAAATGAAGTCTCCACCTTGACATTTTAGGATTTACAATGGGAAATTGGTTGTTTGTGCTGAAGTTAATCTGCTTTACAATATTCAAAATAGCTGAGTGTGTGTATGGTTTACCAGCATGTAACACAAGCATGCAAAAGGTTTTCTATTCTGACTCATAGGAAAAGTTAAAAATCACATTTTTTGTTGGTGTAGCTGGGAATAGCTTAAATTTTGCCAACTGTGCATAACCAATTGTTCAACTGGTGACAAATTCTCTGAAGTTTCTCATTTAATCCACATCCTAGTCAGGTGTGGCCATAAGTGATCAGCATGACTAGTAAACAGTCAAACACCTCGTTGAAACAGCAGCTTTTTCAAATGACAAGGCGCCACGGAGGACAAAAGAAACACGAGAATGGCTGTTGGCATGCGGGCTGCTGGCACATCAGTCAGGCTGTCCACAACTCCATTTTTCATCTAAAAGATCATTTCAGACAGCCTGGTAGGACAGATAATCTGCCAAGTGATGCTCTAGATGGACGTGTCTAACAACATGATCCCAACCGCAAGAATGTCTGGCAGCTTCACTGAACCCTTTACAAGAAGAGCGATACAGCACGCCAACTCCTTAACTAGATGCGTCACAAATGTGTGGTTCATTACAGATTTGATATCTGGTCGATGATCCCACATTTGATCAGCATGTTATTATTTCGAATAGAGCGGATACTTGGTTATGTCATGATGTCGAACAAACAACTTCAGCTCTATGTTTGAAAGAAAGGATAGCGTTTTATAGAATATTTCATGCAGAGTCTATTTTATGCAGTTTTTTTCTGCCATGACTTTAACACAATAACATCATTTAGATCCAAGCCTCTTTATTTCCATTTATCTGCAACTGGTAAAACTTTGAACACTGAGTTCAGTTTTTCACAGCTCTCCACCGACACGTCAATAGGCAGTCTCACATCCTAAACGTATAAACTCAACCAAAATTGTCCCTCAGGATCAATTCTAGTTCCGCAACACTGACAAAATGTGTTACCTGTAACACTTTGTCACTTTTTCCATTATGACTTTTAAAAAATACATTCAGCG